TCTGTAGTAACCAAGAGGGACCATATGTTGGTAGATAATGACTGATGTTCGGCTTTTTCAACTCATTTTCCTATTTTATTGAAAAAATAACCGCCACCGTTTGGCACATTTAGCGCATTCTACCACGCCCGAGGGAGCCTGGCGAAGCCAGGTCGGCCCGGCGAAGCCGGGCCGTGAAACAGAAGGAGAAGCACCCGGCGGCAGCCGGGTGATCCGACTCGTTATGATTAAACGACCAAATTGGCAAGCACTAAAGACCAACTCACAATAAAAATGAAGTGCAAAGTCCCATGAAGAGTACCAAAAATCGCTCATGGACATCCACGTGCCGACTACTACGGCGGCGAATCTCTGTGAAGACTATTTTTAGAGGAAGGGCCAGTTGTTCGGGTCGAATTCGGACGGCTACAACGGAAATGTGAGCATATTTGTGTCGTCAGACGAACGTCTAATTCTAAGCGCTCGCGGAATGTTGATGTTTTTTTCCGCGCTTGAAGATTGTTTATTCCGAGTTCTTGCGACAAGTCTGGTCTTTTCATGTACAGATCTGTCCAGTAGTTGGAAGTTTTTCTAGGCCTTGGCTAGAGCATGCTTGTTGCTCTTTCGTTGCCATCCATTGAAGCTCTTGCTTCGATGCCAGCTTGACAATATCTGAAGCTTGTGCCGTGCATTCACATCCCATTCAAAGTTGTGGATGCCCTTCAGTGGGTATCTGGCTGTCACGGAAATCGTAGGGTGCACGTTTCAGGTGCACACTGTCCACACTCAAGGCTTGCAGGGTGAAGGATTCTTGGGAATGTACGGTTTTCTTAGCCTAAGCTTAGCATACCAGTGACGGTGAGACTCAACACCTGCTGTACCAGCATCACCAGTCACCCTGCGATTTAACTACATACAGTCGTGAACCCCGCAAACGATAGGGCGTTCGTCGGGGCGTGGGCTGAGGCCTTCCCACCAATGCTACCATCCTAGGCTCTGCCGCAACAAGTGGCGGGAACGCTGCTGCCATCCACTTCACGCTGGCGTCACACGCACTATCGTTTGCAGGGGTAATTTTTTTGAACGTCTACACAATTGCAATTTCTAAACTCGTTGCCTGGATAAAAAAGCTTGCTGGACACCCTACAAAGGAAATATTTAGTATTTTTATTTAAGAAAAAATTAATTACATATAAGTGTACACATTGAAATAGAGTAAAAACAAAAATAATTATGCAAAAACACCGATATTCAACAACCGAAAGAAAAACAAAAACAGTTGGCCATTGTGAAACAGCCCCGTAAACAAAAATCTAAGACGCAAAGTAACTCGAAATATGAGTAATTATTCACAGGTTAGTTCCTTCTCCTCGAAGCAGTGATAGCCTTTTCGGGGGACTTGCCTGAAAAAAGCAAAATATCATTTGTAAATCTTGCATAGAAAACTGCGAAACAGAACACTTTGGGAATACACAAATGGTGATTCGATTATAAGCATTCAAACTTCAATAAATGTTTCGTAGAATCATGAAATGTTTCTTTAGCATAACGATAGGTCAAACACTCGTTCTACAGTCCATATTTCTGCCTTGCAGGGGGGGGGTTGTCTGCAGACATGGTAATGAGAGCGCAGTGATTGATAGCTGTCAGGTTGGCTGTGTCCATCCTCCTCAGCGATCCTCAAATCAAGCTACTGCAAATGTGCCAATTCACATTATGATTGAATTAGCAAGTTCCGGCGCTTCATCAAAATGTGGAGCGCAATCGGAGTCGCGCGACTGAAGTATTCATGCCGCGAAGTATGAACGTGGCTTTTAGGTAGAGACGTGAACAGCGTGAGAAGAGTAGAGCGAGGAGGACATTTGAAGACGTCGATGTTTCCACTGCGCTGCTCATGAGCCATAAACCCTTTCACTGCCCCGGGTTCAGCGGACACTTCTTTTTTGCTCTCTTTTGACGAACGACATAATGTTGAGGTGAATGATATTTGTGACCGGATCACTATGGTTCGCTTAGTAAAAAGATTAAAGACTCATATAGTGTTGAGGAAGCTGCGAGTGGTTCAAAAAACCCTCTAACGCAATCTTATTTCTTCAGAAAATATTTGAAGATAGAGATGCAAAAAACAGTTGAAAAATACATGGACTTCACCTGCAAAATGTCGTCCACCATAAATCCCATTTTCCGCCTCTTCACTGGAGCTTTCAGAGGAGTATTATCCACTTCTGAGACCGGATCGCCCCCGCATGGGTCAACATTCTCCTTATCCGGAACTTCTGGTGTGAGAACTGGCGGTGGTGAAAAGCCTGCTGGAGTGGGACTGAAATAAATTCGAAGTCAGTAGGTTTTACTTGGAAAAAAGGTCACTTCAAAAACTCTGAGAGCAATGGTTATCGGACGTTTATCGGTCGATCAGTATCAGCCCGACTGCGCAATTGAGGTCCATCCTCGTAATTGAGGCCCAAACCCGCTGGGTAACAGCTGGCAGGCCATTACGCCTTACTTATTTCCGCCCACTCTTTCGGATGTGACAAGGCAATCGTAACCCGCCGAATCACTGGTCGTGGCCTTCGATGTCGTCGCCCGCCAATGTTCTAATGACAGCTGTCTCACAATTAGGAGTAAAACACTTGAAAAATTCTCACTTGCCTTATGAGGAAAGGCACAATGGTGCGCAAGACCCCGCCCCCCCACCGGTTACTGCGCTACGACCACCTCAGTGGCTCCACATGCACAACCCCATCGCTCCTTTTAAAAAGAATTTGATTATCATACCTGAGAGGTTTCTGTGAGGACTGTCTCATCTCATCTCTCGTGCTGCTCCTTCTCTCACCAAAACATCGCTGAAATTAGAATATCTCTAAATATATGATTCCATTACATTACGATACCATTACAATGATTTACCATCTGATAGTTGGTGAGCAGTAGGTTATTGAAATCCAAAAGTAAAAGAAGATATCTCACCTCATACCACTCCTCCACTTCATCTTCGAATTCCGAGCTTCTGTTGATGAGCCGCTCCGAATCGTCCTCAAGGATTTCCATATATCACTGGTCACACAAGATAAAGAAGAACAGGCTAAGTGAACGGGAGGAGGGCAAACGGCAGCCTACTTCCTGTTCGCCTACACCTTCCCACTGAGACGGTGAAGTGCTAAGTGCTTCTATAGTTCTGGTCTGGGATGGTCAAGACGAACAGAAAATGCGGCAGTCTAAGCCGTTGTCCCCACCCACCTCTCTTCTCTTGTCCCCAGACGAGAGTGAAATGTTGTCTACACGTAGGAGATTGTACCTGATGAATTCGCCGCATATGACTGGTCACATGGAATTTGTCATAGAATGACGCGTGAGAGCAGTGAGGACACTGGAACAACGGGCGTCGCACGTGGTACTGAAGCAGATGACGTCGGGGTCCTGAAACGAAACTGAAAGATACAAAAACAATAAGTGTTTAGAGTGCGTAATGTGAATTTGCGTTAATATTTGGCGTATGATTGTCACTAATGGACTCCCTTTACATGAACATTTTTTTTACTTTCAGGCCCTCCGGTACCTTAAAGGTAGAACCCGCGATTATTCGCCATCTAAGATGGTGGATTAGGGGGTTCCCTATAGACGACAAGGGGATAAGTAACTCGACAGTGGAAAAAAACCACAAAAAAGATGCCTTGTGCCCTAGATATATACCCCATTTTGATCTCAGTTTGTGCGTGCCCAAATAACTCTATCTCCCACACTACGCCCTCCCACGCAAGCTGATTCACCGATAAGAACTCTACGATCGTACAAGTGACGATTTTCATGCTTTTTCGTCCTGCAATCTCGCTTTTTCATTGGTGAGTCGCGGCAACTGGAGGCCGGAGTAGAACTTGGGTTATGAGGTTATGAAGAGATTTTTTTTCGCAATTTTGGTCCATGCTGCCTCAGGTACCACCCTTTTCACCGCAAAGGTTTACCCTTTCTTCACTTTCATATTTCAAAGGAAAAACTCTTTGCACTTTTCTCACTTGACGCAGATCCTTCTCTTTGAACTACACACGATCCTTTCGTCCGGGGACTATAATACGCCCCCTGCTGGGTACTCCTCAAAGCAGTATCCCAGCAAATGAAACCCCTACTGCAGTGAGCTTTCTCCTAGCACACACTAGCATGTTCTGAGAGATTTATTTTATCACTGTTGGTTTCATGTTAAGAAACTATTCGAGTTGCTGCCTCACCCTGACTTCTTTTGCCATCTTTGTTAATGTGCATCTTGCAGATGGAGCAATAGGTTTTCTTGTACCCCCGGACAGCGTTCCGACTTATGGGTGTACCGAGCGATGAGGCCGTCGATGAGAAGAATCCGGAATCAGACTGAAATCATATTTCGTGCTTCTTCCACAACTTTACTTTTGGATCAAATGATAAGCAGAAAAGAGGAACTTATGTTCAAATGCTACAGAAGTCCTCCGCAGAGATCGTTGAACCAGTGTTTTCCTTGAAAAAAATATGAACTTACCTGCAAGGAGGAGTTGGTTGGTTTTCGAGTGTACGACGTGTCTAAGTTATACACCTGAAAACTTCATTTATCTTAGTTTCACTACCAGGACTTTCCCAAAGAGTAGCTCGAGTGAGCCTTTAACAGTACAAAGTTATTGGCCCTCTACACCAAAAAGTGAAGTAATAGTACCAAACTCACCGATGTGGTGTTAAATGGTATCAGTCTAGGTGGAGGAGAGTATTGATCAGCCCTTCTTGATTCCAAGGACGAATCGAACGAATGACGATGACGACGATGGATCCATCGTGAAGTTTGCGGAACTTTCTGCCGCTCCATAGAACCTTGCGAATGGCGAGTAGATCGACGTGATTGGTGGCAGATGGGTGTGACTGAACCCGTAATATGGCGTAGATGTGAAGAACTCTGTAATCTTCAGTTCCAGGGAAGATTTTTGTAATCTCATGCACCAAAAGATCATATGGGTACGGTAGAATCCTATGGTCTTTTTGTACCCATAGGATTCTACTGCACCCACAGGATCTCTGGTGCAGCATCAGCAAATAAGGCTAATAGAGAGATATGGAGAGGGAATTTTATTGAATATCTATTCAATTCCCAGTCCCTATCGATACATTGCTGAAAGGCTCCTCTTTTGTTTTGAGGCACCTACTGCGTGAATTCTTTCAGACCACCACGGTTTCTCTTAGTGGTTCCGCCAACCCTAACGCCTTTGAAAAAAACGTCTGTGGGACGAGTTTCCACGAAGGAACGATAGTTACCTCACTTGATATAGGACAGCTTCATCGCCTCTGCCCTGGTCCTAGTTATTACAACATTAATGACTCACCGTTGTTTGTAGCGTAGGAGAATGAGTTGTTCGTCATTCTACCTGCACACTCGTTGCTCTTGATGGGAGCGGACTGGAATGGAAATCTTTTACTAATCAGTTCTGAATATGCTGAGAGAGAGGATCACTTCCTTTTTCAAAATCAAGTTATTTTATTGCTTGGGGCTATGAAGATGAATGAAAGATATCAGAAGAGGGGAACTTAGGAACCAGGTGACCAAAGGGTTGCGGGATGGTGACAACGGGGTCACTCCAAGAAAGTTACAAGCTACGTAGCCATGAAGGCGGGGTGAAGACCATCAGGGAAGAAGAAGGAATACTCCAGTAAAACGAAGTGCAGGTAAAATAATGATTTGTCCCGTCGTTTACTCTGGCGGCCAAAAGTCAAGGGCCTGTCAAATAATGCTTCAGATTCGAAAGGAAAACACTTTGCAATACATATTGGGAAAAACCTTGAACTAACTCCGGAGAGCAAGGACTTACGAACAGAGCATGGAAGTAGAGGGATGAATGAAGTGCAAATCCGTAGGAGGTAGATCTTGAGCAGCAAGTATGATATGAAGAGAAAAAGGAAGGGTAGCGGACATCCCATGCCGTCATGAGAGATGAAAGCGTGAAAGAGTGGACAAGGAAAGGATAGTGAACTCCAGAAGAAGTTGTGGAAAATAAAATAAAAGTGAAAGAAAATGATTTTAAAAGTTTGGTCGCACATATAATAACAGTTATCAAACTATCGCTGACAAAGGAGAAAAAGCGAGTCTCACCTCTTCGTCTTTGGCTTCTGATATAGTCATCTCTGCTTTCAAGCTCACAGTAGATAGTATCAGTGGATTTCTTAGCTTGTTTACTTTCACCTGAAAAATTCTTGCTAAACCAAAGTCAAATAATGAACTACTAGAAAAAAACGGCACTATTTACCCTTTACTGCCCCAGTCATCCGAAATCAGGCCAGTTCCTGACCGACTTTTTTCTCCGTGGGCAGATTTTGCTCAAATGTTGTCTCCTGGGTAGTTTGACCTCCAGAATACGAATATCACATTCGCTCAGCCCAAAACTTCCTGGCGCCCGCGCCACAGGCGCCAATGATTTGGGGTATTTTGGCGCCGGTGCCCGTGGTGCGGGCGCCAGGAGGTTTCGGGTTGAGCGGATGTGATATTCGTGTTCAGGGGTCAAACTACCCCCGGAGCCAAGTTTTCAGCAAATTCTGCCCACGGAGAAAAAAGTCGGTCAGGAACTGGCCTGATTTCGGATGACTGGGGCAGTAAAGGGTAAATAGTGCCAAAAAAACAAAATACAAAAAGAGTCTGATAGAGTGCAATAGTAAAAAAACGTACCTGAATAAAGCAGAGTATCAAGATTTCTCCGGTCAAATCCCGACTTTATATATGACCCAGTCGATTTCTCCGCCTTTGTTTCCGTCGGCTCTTCTTGGCGCGATATATGAGGTGACAGAGGCCCTTTAGGGCGACTTTGATGAGTTCACACCTCAGCATTTCCTCTCGGCAAATAATTACCATGAGGTCAACACCTAAGTGCGAACATCAGGACAAGGAAGTTCATAAAACGGTTGCGATCAGGCTATCAATCCCAGAACATATGATTATTGAGATATGAGCGGGTAAACGGAGTACGTACTGAGCTTAGCAGCTGTCTCGTGCTCATAGAGTGAGCCATGAAAAATGCTTAGATTGATAATGACCTGAGCGGATCAATAAAGAAAAGAAGAATCACTGAAAACGAAGATATCAGACGAAATGAATAAAAAAGGGTCAGATGTGTGCGCCAAAAAATGCGGTGCTGCTCGACTTGGAGGGGGCATTTTGCACTTTCGTTAGTTCCTTTTATTAGCTGAGCTTGTCTAACAGGTCTCACTTTGGTCTTACCTGCATGCCACCCTGAACATGCAAATTGTTCGAATGAGACACTTTACTCACAGGAATTTGCAGTACCAGTACCATTCGATGCCCCCACCAAGCTCAAATATGCTTTTAGAAACAGTTTTCTAGTGTGCCTTATACGTATAAAAGGATGAAGGATAAAATTTTCGCCGTTGATCAATCCATTGTGGGATTTGGCACGCATTCTACTTCCATTCAGAATTGCAGTGGCCTATAAGATGCTATATCCTCTGTAATGACTTGCGAGGGCCAACCGATGTACAAATCAGTGTTCTCATTCTCCCAGACGAATCTGGTACCAATTCACCGTTCCCGGAGGTAGAAGGCCTGGGTGGGAGCCCACCCGGCGAGTGGTAAGCGCGCCATTTGTCACTGCACCACCTTCGCCTCAGTATACATATATCTGGTGCCAGTTGCTGATGAGCGTACTTATTGTGCCAATATTTCCATTGGAAAACTCGTTCAGGACTGTTGGCGAGGGAGTGGGTACTTCCTTTGGTAGCCATCAAAATTCAGTTCTACTCCTCTCCACAAAAGTGATCCTCTCAGAACAGAATGCAGCCGAGAGATAAGCCTTTGCGATGCGATACATTTGGTTCCATTGCCAAAAAAGAGCACGGGTTTTTTTTCTCCTGAATGTATTTTGGCCCCTGCTTATGACCATTTCACGGTTGACATTTCTCGATTAGTAGAAGAAATAGGAAGCGGAGTAGAAAGGGTAGAAACCACCACTAAACGTCAGTGGCTTAATCTTCTGAGCTTCCATATCAAAAAAAAGAGCACGAGTGAATTTGAGGTGTGATTGTCCTTAGTGGAGTTCAGTCGAGGAACCGTGAGAATGCAACAAAGTG